TTGTAAAAGAAATAAAAAAGTAATGAAAAATAGTGACAAATGAATGGAAAAAATTTGTATGTATCAAAATATTATTATTCTGAATATATTGATAGAGAAATTGTGTTGCTACTAATGTATAAGATGCATGGTTGGTATATATATATATATGTATGTAGGATATCAAGTCAGCAGATTGGTCTCCCTTTGTTGCTCCATTTTGGCCAGCAGTGATACGTTCTGCGTTAACATGGAATGGCCTCACTTCACTTTTGCGCAGTGGTAAGCTCAACATTAATTTATGGATCATTTTCAATAGTTAATGGTTTTCCTAAATTTTCTGTAAAAAAGTATGAACAAAAAGCTCTTTATAAGTTAAATAGTTATGACAAAATAATTCTTCAAGAAGTTTATATAATAAAGCTTGTATAAAGTAAATTATGGGTGGATAAATTTCAGTTTATATAAATGTTTGTTATTTATTTATGATTCTTAATGAATATTGTGCATACGATTTTCAAAAGTTGAATATTTAATGATTTAGTTTGCTTGTTAATAGATCAAAATATATGCCACTGGCTGCGTGAGGTTTACCAGAAAATTATGTTATTTTAGAATAACGAAGACTAAATTATTCGAAGAAAATTAATTGTGAAAGGAGATTGTCAGTAATGAATTAGTTGGTTAGTGTTTGGATATGCATTATACATATAATATATATTTATAGAAATTGTTTTATCGGTTGAAATTATTTATTTTCAGAAAAAATAAAAACATAAAAGTTTAATTTTATAATAGTTAATTTAACGTATAAAAGATTATTTTATTGCTAATCTTTTATTTTCTCAAGTTATAGTTGTGTTTATGCCAATCAAAGAAATTCGAACATATTTTGAAAAAATAAAGCATACAAATTCAGTGTGAATGTATGAGTACGATTAAAAGGCTTTTGATTTTAGATGAAAACATAGAGAGCATGCATGTATTTTGAAAGATATATATCCGCATGAAAAAGGAAAGGATGCAATCAGAAGAAGTTATTTTAGTTGAAATTAGAGAAACAATAATTAATTAATTTTTAAATACAATTATGCAGGAAAAGGAAAGATTACTTATTCCACCAACTTCCACATCTACCTGTTCTTGTTGAAGTGATTATTATAATATTTTTTTGCAGGAGTGAAAACCATTAAAGGAGCTTTGGCTATGCCATTGATGATAAAAGGATACAAGAAGGGTTTGATTAAGTTTGTGATCATTACATGTAGAAAGCCTGAATAAATAAGTTAAATATTATATTTATTGTTTTGACATAATTTATTTTAATAGTTGAAAAAAATATATATTAGAGAAGCCTATTGAGAGTGAAAGGGGTGAAATGACATCAAATGGAAGATGTATGAAAATTCGATTCAGCTTCCGCTAAGATACCAATAATGGTGCAAATTAAAAAAACACCAATAATTGTACTTCATATTTTGCTTTATCTCGATTTTATTTTATTTAGTTTATATACCATTTTAATCAAAGTCGTATCAAACTTCTTATTATCCACAAAAAAATTCGGGAACTTAAGAATCAATAATTATTTTTTTACAATATTAGTTGTTTTGGGTATGGGTTTGAGGTATCTTACTTTAAAACCCTTTGAGTTATTTGAAAATCGGATTGATTATTTAATGATCATTCATCTTTCAAATGTTGTTTTTTTTTCTTTCCTTTTTTGTCATGTGAGTAGATATTTCTCCAATCATTAGCACAACAAATAATATAGATTATGTGTATTTTTTTTAAATCATATTTAACACTTTTATTTATAATAGCTGTGATGATTTTTTATAAACGACAGTTCAATTATGTCCTAATTTGTATTAAGGACAAGTTATTATCATCGATAATTTAATCATTATGTTAAGTTATAGTGGACATTTCATACAGGAACTCGGCGTTACGCTACTCAAAGAAGACAGCACACTGGTCTAATAGTAATTTTAGAAATTATATAATTTATATATATATATATATATATATATATATATATATATATATGATAATAGATAGATCATAACTAATATTTAGTAATTAAAATAAAATGCTTACAAATTTTAGTGAAATTTTGAAAAGTTTATGAAGAAACAAATATTTAAGACATTCATGTATCACGTCATTAACAATGTTAATGATGTTTTTTTATAATAAAATAAGTTAAGACAACTGTCATAGCACCTGATGCATTTATTATTATTTATTATGACTAGAACTAGAAAGATCATAACCATATTATATATTAATGTGTCCTTTTTTAATATAATTTGTAGCTTTTAGCTTTATATGTACCTCCAAAACAAGTAACTTTAACACTAAAACTAATCATATATACAAATAAAACAACAGTTAGCGTTCAGGATAATATATTGTAAAAATAGATCGTTATTATCTTACGTCTATATCATGTCTTTTTTATATTAACTATATTTTTAAATTGTTAGAGATCTTTTATTGATTAAATACAGGATACATATATACTATTAGAATTAGAACAAGCATTAAAGTTAGTATTTTTGTCAATATAAACTAAGTTAATTTTTTTTTTATATAATATCGTACTCCATTTTAATGGGATTTATTAAATTTATTATGCTACTAATTTTTCGGCTACCATTACTACTCACGTAAATTTAGCTTTACACAAAAAATATTTATGTCATATTTCAATGTGTGTGAAATATATTGAAATTTCATATCAACTAAAACAATATAATCATATATTAATAAAAAAATATTTTATAAATTATTTTTGTAAAAAATAAATTAAACTTAAATTTACTTTTTAATATCTATATACAAATAAAAGTTTGTAAGCTCTAACAAAAGAATAATAATGATAATAATACTTATCACTATCAACTTTATTTTTTACTACCAATAACGATATTTGTATATAACAAATAAGGTAATTATATTAACATTTATAAGTAATTAAGGTTGATTGACTTTATCCTATGATAGTCACTTTAGATATGCTGTGATGGACACTTTAGATATATATATATATATATATATATATATATAATATATATATATGATCATCTTTATTATAAATTTAAAACATAATTTTTCAGTAAGTCACATGAGATCAAAACAAAACAAGTATCTACAATAAAATAAACTGGTGAGATAGTGCTTCTTAATTACTTATAACCCTTATACATGCAAAACTACTATATTGTTTGGAAAAATATATTTTGATGCAGATTTTTTGAAAATATTTTAATATGTATATATATTATTTTTTTCACTAATTCATAATTTATTATAAATTTAATAAAAAAAATATACGTTATATCAAAATATTGTTAAAAAAATATGTATTAATATATTCTTATTCTTATTTATTTTGTTATAGTTTGTTCTGTTTCATTGCTAAGAATTTATTTCTTATTATTTCATTTTTTGGACGCAGTTTTCACAAATATTTTGGATGTTTCAATTGAATGAAGGGTATTTTATGAGCTTTGTTTTTTTTTTTCTTCTCTTCTGGACTTAATCTTACATAATTTATGTTTTTGTTGGTTGAAAATAATAACGATTTCCACTTTTCTCTATTTAAATTTTGAGGGTGAATTTTAAACATGTAAACAAAATTGTTGTTTCGAGCTGGATTTCTTTTAATATTTCTTATTTGAAATTATTTGATGCAACAGTATAATTAAATTTTTATGTCCTAAAAATTATATTACTGCGACCTAAAACAATCTTAATGTATGATTATTTAATAAAGCTATTATTGAAATGACATGATGTATATAAATAAGTTTCTTATATTTTGTTTGTTTTCTTGAATTTTTTATTAAATAACCTCAATTAACACCTTATTAATATAAGAGATAATATTACAAATATATTTTTTGATAAATAATCTGTATACTATATATAAATCTTGAATATTTACCAAGTATACCGGGAGTGTATGGGATGACAATGGGTCGGGTCGGGTACGGATAGTGCCTACCCACAACCCAATCCGACAGAAAAAAATTCATCCGCTACCCGCACGGATACCTGCTTAAAAAATATCCGCGGGTATTTTAAAATCAGTGATACCCGTAGATATCCACGGATACCCGCAAATATTAAATTTTTTAAATAAATTATTATAATAAAATTTAAATAGAATTATAAAAAATATATAAAATATAATATAAATTAAATTAAATAAAATTTAAATTCATTTTAATTAAATTTAATCTTGTAAAATAAAATTATGTTAATTTTATTAAATTTAACTTAATAAAATATAAATTAATTTTTATTTTTATTTTTTGCGGGTAGCGGATATCCGCGGATATGACCCGCACCCGACCCGTTTATAAGCGGATATTAAAATATCTGCTATCACGGGTAGTAAATATCCGTGAGTATCAATTATCCGTCGCGGATTTTATCCGCAGATATTTGCGGGCGTAGATTTTTTTTGTCATCTCTAGTATGAACCATCTAGATGACTCATAATGGTAGTTGAGAAAAAAAATGGCGAATAAAATATTTGAGAAGATACAATAGTTAACAACAAAATGAATATTATTTAACTGTATTTCAATTATATTAGCAATATTTTCAAAATATCATAGGAAGACAGATACTAAGTAATATGATATATTTATGTAATGATTTAAATTTGTGCAACATGTGTATACAAATCTTGGAGAAAATTATATTGTGAAGAAAATTTGACATCTCTAGATGATGTTGGATTGTTTCAACATTTTAACACCAAAGTCTATTTTTCTTAAAAATATTTATGTATTTTTATTAGAGTGGTATCATTATAAGTTTACAAATTAAAATTATTTGATATTTCAAATAAAATATCGTAGCATAGTATGTATTTAAAAACATAAAACCCATTTCCACCACTATTCACCGTTTTCTTTGTTTTTTTCATAACTTGCAGCACAGATTCTTGTCTTAAAGTCGGTTGTTTCATAAATATTTTTTCACAAATGTTAAATAAAATACATTTACCACACCCAATTTTGTTGAAAAGTATTAACTTCTAATACTTTTTATACAGACCAACTAAATTTCAATCAAATTCATTAAATTCTGTAAGCAATGCTTTTCAAGACAAAATAAATAAGATTAATAAACATTTTTTTTGGTAAAGAAATTGAAATTATATTTTTTTAATACATAGCTTCGGTTAAATGTGTATTAACATGTGTCCAAAACAATATCACACTTAGATATTGACTACACAATTCAACAAGATTTTTAAACAATTACATTTTGAGGATTAAATTAATTTTTTTTGAAATTAAGAGATTAAATTGCTTAAATTTAAAAAATAAACTAATTTCAATTTTCTGTGTGAGTTATGGGTAAAAATTATATATATATTATACAACATATCAAATGTTTAGGTGGTCAAATTTGAAATTTTGTAAAACTGGAAACAATAAGAAAAAAAAAGGAATATTATAGATAGGAAAATGACACTTGAACAACCATTTTTGACAACATTTAGACACGCGCACACGTGTAAAATCTGAGTGGTCAGTTTGGAGAAAAATTAAATGAAAGTGGACCACTCAGATTTTGACACGTGTGCGCGTGTCTAAATGTTGTCAAAAATGGTTGTTCAAGTATCATTTTCCTTATAGATATCATGTGTGTGTATGACAGATGGAATAAAGTAGGATACGTTGAAGGTGATGATGGTGGCGTGGAAGGGATAACCAAAGTCTTCTTTTTGCATATATGTATGTATATTGTATTAATTTATTTATTATTTATTATTTATCACTATTAATTTTATATATATTTTTTGTTTTTCTTTTTTACCAGTCAAATATTTCTTTTGGGAAACCCATTCTCTCTCTCTCTCAGCCACTGTCTCTTGACTGAGTTGGTTAGCCGCTATGAACAAAAACCCTTTCACTTTGCCTTCTTCTTCCACTCTCACTCTCTATCCATCTTTCGCTACCATGTTTTCTTAGACCTCTCAGGTATTCTTTTTTTCTATCTCTTCTTTTCTTTTTCTACTTTTCCTTTTCTTTGTCTCTTTGTCTCTTCTTTTTGTTGTTAACATTGGATTTTTGTCTATATTTTGGAATTTGGAAAACTGGCACTGCTCTCGGTGGGACGTGTCGTGATTGGGTAACGATGATGTTTGATCTGAGGTAGAAAGCGGGAGAGAACAAAAATATGACAAGGGTTTAAGGAATGGGTATGGCTGAGATCTTTGTGGGAAATTTCCTGTTGTTTTTGGGTTTTTCGAAGGTGTCGAACCGACAAGTGCCAATGTGTCTAACATTTTATCGATGCCAGAAAACTAAAATCTGTCTCTGCAGGTTTTTTGGAGTTTAGTAGGGAAACGGTGCGGTGGAGTGAGCCCCAAATAGGGGAAAAAAGAAAAAGGGGTTAGGATTTGAAGAGGGGATAATATTTCTGAAGAAGAAATATTAATATTAATATTAATATATTAAAAGTAATGAATATAAATAGATAAATTTAATTTTTTATGGTGAATGTCAGAAGGTGATATTAATGTAGTAATGAAAATTTTAAATTATACTGTATGGAGTAATGAAAATTTTGGTATTTGTTTGTGTAGGTTCTTCTTGGACAACCCAGAACAATTTTGTTTGTGCTTTTTAAAATGAAACCACATGCGAACGGGGTGTCTAGAGGTCATAAGGGAAATGGTACTCAAGTTGAAGGGCCAAACTGGCTTATTTTTGCTGCTGGTGCATTGTTGAGTACCTTATCCATTCGTCTTGGTTACAAGTTGAAGCAGGCACTCGACTCCAAACCGAAGCAGAATGCAACTGACATTCAGAAAGGTCCTTATGTACTGTTGGGGGGCACCGGTTTTCTTGTTTTTGTATTTCTCCTAACTTTTTATGAAGATGTGAAAATGTATATAATAGTCAAATTGGATGTGTTTTGGTCTGAGTGGATTCTAACTTCATGTCTTTTTATGCTTCAGGAAATGGAAAATCCTCCAGCACAAAGAAATCGGCAGACTATTTTTTGCAGACTAATGGGTATACCCAAATGCAAGATAATCACGGATGCTTCACTTGCATTTCAGGTTGTTTACTGTGTGCTTCACATTCAAATACTATTGTTATTTGCTGAGTTTTGATGATTTGTTGTTGTGCTGTCTAGTAGTTTGCTTATTTAGAAAGTTTCTTTTTCTGACGAGATTTTGTTTCTGAATTTGGAATCATGTTGATGATTATAGATATTTGTTTTTCGGACGCTGAGCTTGTTATTATTATTATAATCTGCTAAGACTTATTAATTATGTTCTTTGTCTTAAGAGAGTGTCAGTCAGTGGAACAATTTCCGCTCGTCTTTATACCTGATGCCATATTAAGGTTATTCTCATTGAACAGTTTTTTACCAAAATGTATCCCTTTAGTTTTGTTCTCATCTTGTATATTTGTTGTCTCTGCTTCCAGTTTTATATCACTAGCGTTACTACTATTGAATGTGATCATTATATGTGATAATAATAAATAGCATTTCCACCTGAAGGTGGAGATGTACGAAGTGGTGTGAAGATGCAACTTATTTTATCTGCTCTCATAAGATAAGGTGGGAACGGACGCGTTAATTTTCTCATTAGGCAGATGATCCAAACATCCTGAAACAAGTTATAGTTCAGTAATCTATGGCACTTGATACTGAAGTTATGGATATAAAACTTTTTATTTGATATCATCAGATTTTTTTTTTCCTTTACCAGCAAAGAGATGCAAACAACACACATAGTTCAGATATTTAAAGTAAACCCGAATTTAACAAGTTGATGGACTTGCATTTGAAGTTGACTGCTCTGTCTGAGATGGTGTAAACATTGTACTTGAGTAATTTGCAAATAATTGATCATTATAGTTTGTGAATCTGATTCAACATTCTGTGTGATATTATTCAACTTATTCCTTTCTTTTTACAGTTTATCCTTTTCAGGGATGCTACCAAGCCTTAAATATTTAAGCTTCTTATTCTGTTTCAATTGTGTCTTACATACATTTTAAGTATCAATGGATGTTGTTTTGGACAGGAACTGGTGGTACCATGGAACTAAAGTGCCCACCAAATGGACAGATGCTGAATGAGTTTGATGGAGCTCTCCCATTGGTGACTGTTCCTGCTGCGGCTGTTGCTCCTGAATTTAGTAAGGAAAATGGTGCTGTATGGGCATGCTCCCCTGAGCATCATCTTGAATTGCCTTCAAAGCCGTTCCACCATTCAAACTGCTCAGATTCTCCATGTGTATCAGAATCTGGTTCTGATATTTTTAGTAAGCGAGAAGTCATTCAGAAACTGCGGCAACAGTTGAAGAGAAGAGATGACATGATCCTAGAAATGCAAGATCAAATGGCTGAATTGCAAAATTCACTCAACTCCCAGATGGGGCTTTCTTCACATTTGCAAATGCAGCTTGATGCTACAACCAGGGACTTATTTGATTCCGAGAGAGAGATCCAAAGGCTAAGAAAAGCAATTGCAGATCACTGTGTTGGATATATTCCCCATGACAAATCTTCCAAAGTGACAACTTCTATTGAGACTAGAAATGGTCTTTTAAATGGGCATCTTGATGGAGAGAGTAATTCTGAGTCCCCTGAAAAACTAAGAGATGATGAAGAGAGAGTTGAGTTGCTGAAAAGACAAGTAGGAGAGTTGAAAGAGGTAATAGAAGGAAAAGAATACTTGCTTCAGAGCTACAAGGAGCAAAAGACGGAACTTGCTCTGAAACT